AATATTTAGTGAAGGGATTCAGGAAACCGGTTATTTCCATATAGTCGGACTTGAGTCCTGGAAATGGGAAGTACAATGCATGCACTTTAAAGGAGGGGTTTGGGATATTGGCAGTTTGGAGGGATATGTTGTGTATCTTTATATGTGTATGCTTCTAGACTGTTGTATTCTGAGCACCTCTGCAAAAACAGTGATAATGTGCGAGTGTGGTGAAAGTGTTGAATGATGATGAAAGTATTTTTCTTTTTGGGGATTTTCTTTCTTTTTTGGGTCACCCTGCCTCGGTGGGAGACGGCCGACTTGTTGAAAAAAAAAAAAAAAAAAAAGTAATGAATGTACTGTAGGAGTAAATGACAGAGATTAAAGAGGTGTGTGCAATGTGGACTAGGGTGCAAGCTTTTGTAGAGAAACACCAACCTGATCAAGCTGAAACAAGCCATATCTGCAACATGTTCAGTGACAAAACCCTGTCCCACTTCAGGGAAATCTTAAAGAGATGCCAGAAACAGACCTCTATGGACAGATTTGTTGTGAGACAGGGGTCCAGTGACTCTCAAGCTGGTCCTAGTGGCATTAAAAGACAAAGAAGGGAAGTAACCCCAGAGAAGGCTTTGCTATCTAAAGTCTTTATGGAGGGGGATAACCCTTAAACACTAACTCCTCCCTCTTTCCTCTTCCTTATCTTCCAGAAGCCAGCATTAGCCTTTAACCCTTTGACTGTCGCGGCCGTATATATACGTCTTACGAGGTACCGTGTTTGACGTATATACAGTGGTCCCTCAATAATCGTCCGGCCTGAAAGTCGTCCATTTCGGAAATAGTCCTGTTTTTTCGTCAAAATATTGACTCGGAAATGGTCCGGTAACTCGCTAATAGTCCTTCGTCCCGGAGGCGTACTCACGGTCTGAGCCGCCTCCAGCCGCCTCGGCCTTTCCTTCCCAGCCAGTGTGCCATTGTTTACCAGTGAGCGATGGTCCCCTCACGTGCTCCAGCGAAATATTTCATATTTCATTTATTTTAGTGCTTGCAAGTTATTTAAGTGCTAAATAAGCTACCATGGCTCCAAAGAAAGCTCCTAGTGCCAAGCCTTTGGTAAAGAAGGTGAGAAATACGATTGAATTTAAGAAAAACATAATTGAACAATATGATAGTGGTGAAACGTATGGGCGAACTGGCCAGGATGTATAACAAATCCCGTACATCATAGCCAAGAAAAAGGAAATCATGGATGCTGTTGTTGCAAAGGGGGTATATATGCTGACAAAAATGAGATCACCAGAAACTCGAAGATGTTGAGAAGTTGTTATTGGTGTGGATAAATGAGAAACAATTAGCAGGAGATAGTCTTATGACGTCGCTTATTTGTGAAAAGGCTAGGCAGTTGCATGACGATTTGGTAAAGAAATTGCCTGCAACTAGTGATGATGTGAGTGAATTTAAGGCCAGCAAAGGCTGATTTGAGAGATTTAAGAAGCATACTGGCATACACAGTGTGGTAAGGCATGGTGAGGCTGCCAGTTCGGACCACAAGGCGGCTGAAAAATATGTGCATAAATTCCAGGAGTACACAGAGGCTGAAGACTGAACCTGAACAAGTGTTCAATTGTGATGAAACAGGCCTCTTTTGGAAGAAAATGCCAAAGAGGACCTACATTACTCAGGAAGAAAAGGCGCTGCCAGGACACAAGCCTATGAAAGACAGGCTGACGCTCATGTTCTGTGCTAATGCTAGTGGGGATTTCAAAGTGAAGCCATTACTAGTGTACCATTCTGTAAATCCCAGAGTGTTCAGGAAAAACAATGTTATGAAGAGTAAATTGTGTGTGTTTTGGAAATCTAATAGTAAGGCATGGGTCACGAGGGAAATTTTTGTACAGTGGTTCAATGAAGTGTTTGGCCCTAGTGTGAAGAATTACCTTCTGGAAAAGAAATTGGATCTCAAGTGCCTCCTAGTAATGAACAATGCACCTGCTCATCCTCCAAACTTGGATGACCTAATTCTGAAGGAGTTTGGGTTCATCACAGTAAAGTTCTTGCCCCCGAATACCACTCCTCTCCTCCAGCCCATGGACCAGCAGGTCATTGCAAGCTTTAAAAAAACTCTACACCAAAGCAATGTTTGAAAAGTGCTTGAATGTGACCTCAGACACTCGCTTGACCCTACGAGATTTTTGGAAAGAACATTTCAGTATTCTCCATTGCGTAAACCTTATAGGTAAGGCTTGGGAGGGAGTGACTACCAGGACTTTGAACAATGCTTGGGAAAAATTGTGGGCCAGATTGTGTCCACAAGAGGGATTTTGAAGGGTTTGGGGGTGACCCTGATGAGCCTATGTCAGTTGTTAAATCCATTGTGGCACTGGGGACTTCTATGGGGTTGGATGTGAGTTTGGAGAATGTGGAAGAGTTGGTGGAGGACCACAACGAAGAGCTAAAACCCCTGAGGAGCTGCAAGAGCTTCAGCAGGAACAGCAACAGATGGCAGCTCAGAATCTTGCTGCAGAGGAGGAGGAAGAGAGATGGAGGAAGGTGCCTATTCAGAATTTAAGGAGATTTTTGAAATGTGGGGTAGGATGGAAAGATTTATGGAGAACATCACCCAGAGAAGGATGTTGCAAGCCTTATCGCAACTTGTACAGTGACAGAGTCTTGGCCCATTTTAGGGAAGTTTTAAAGAGACGCAGGGAAAAAGAGCTCTCTGGACAGTTTTTTTGCGAGACAGGACTCCAGTGACTCTCAAGGTGGTCCTATTTGGGATTAAGAAACAGAGAAGAGAAGTAACCCCAGAAAAGCAATTGGTACCCGAGGTGTTGATGGAAGGGGATTCCCCTTCCAAACAGTAATTCATCCAATCAGTCTCCTTCTCCAGTCTTCCATACACAAAGAAGAATCGCCAATAAAGGTAAGTGTTATTCTGTTAATGTTTAATTCATCATGTGCCACTGTATTGTTTATGTATTATATCTATATTTCATGTAAAAAAATTTTTTTGTTTTAATACTTCCGGGTGTCAGGAACGGATTAATGGAATTTACATTATTTCTTACGGGGAAAATTGATTCGTAAATCGTCCATTTCGATAATAGTCCCACTTCCAGGAACGGATTATGGAGGATTATTGACGGACCACTGTATACTCATAAATTCTAGTGGCTTCAAATCAAGCAGAAAGCTGGTAGGCCCACATGTGAGAGAATGGGTCTGTGTGGTCAGTGTGCACCATATAAAAAAAATCCTGGAGCACGCAGTACATAATGAGAAAAAAAAAACTCCGACCGTTTTTTTTAATTAAAATGCCGACTTTGTGGTCTATTTTCGTATAGTATTTATGGTTGTATTCTCGTTTTCTTGGTCTCATTTGATAGAATGGAAAACATATTATAGAAATAGAGGTGATTTTGATTGATTTTCCTATAAAAGAACCTAGAAATGGAGCTCAAAGTAGGGGAAATGTTTGATTTTTGCCAATGTTTTAAAAGTAAACAAATGATGCCATTGTCCAATAAATGTCCAACTAGCCATTCTAATATGCAGTCATGAATAGGTTGATGTTATTTATACAATTATTACAGTATTGCAGTAGTCTGCATAATAGTAAGTCTTCTATTTTTTGTTTGAATAAAAATTCAAAATAGAAAGCAAGAGTAATATCAGAGAGGCCTGGAGACATGACTGATGAGCAAAGAAAATGTTATTTTAGAGCCAGGAATGTCTGCATTGTTCATTCTGGACCTTGTTTTGAAATTGTCATATTTTTTAGTTTTCGTGAAATTGGCCAAATTGCAAATTTCTGACCACATTATTAGGTAGTTGAAATCAGTAAATGGACAGTTTCTTGTATTCAATCGATAGAAAAAATGGAGTTCTAAAGAAATAGCTATGAGTTTGGGCAACTGAAACAATGGAATTAGCCGAAAATAGGGCTCAAAGTGGGCGAAATCGCCGTTTGTAAACAGCACCGAGGTCGCTAACTTCGCGAGAGCATAATTCCGTCAGTTTTCCATCAAATTTCGTTTTTTTGGTGTCATTACAAATCGGGAAAAGATTCTCTATCATTTCATAAGAATTTTTTTTTTTTTTTTAAATTTGCGACACCAGGAGACACCTCAGGATTGGGGGTTGCGACAGTCAAAGGGTTAATGTAATATTTACATAATTGTTAAATTTTTTTTTTTTTGTGAATATTTTTGTCTGGAACAGATTAATTGTATTTTCATTAATTCTTATGGGAAATATTAGTTCAGTTTTCGGCCATTTCGGTTATTGGCCAATTTTTTGGAACTGATTACAGCCGATAACCGAGGGTCCACTGTACATGTATGTGTAGTGTGACCTAAGTGTAAGCAGAAGTAGCAAGATGTACCTGAAATCTTGCATGTTTATGAGACAGAAAAAAGGACACCAGCAGTCCCATCATCCTGTAAAACAATTACAGGCTTTTGTTTTACACTCACTTGGCAGGACGGTAGTAACTCCCTGGGTGGTTGCTGTCTACCAAGCTACTACCAGTATTTATACAATTATTACAATAATTCAGTAAATCTTATATTTTGTGTGAACAGAGAAAATGTTTTTTAATGCCAGGAATGTCTACATTGTTTATTCTGGACCCTATTTATAAACTGGCAATTTTTTATATTTTTTTTTAAATTGGCCAAATTAGATTTCTGATCACTGTACTGGATAACTGAAATAGATAAATAGGTGGTTTTTTGTATTCAATCAATAGAATGGAAGGAATACTAGTGAAATAGCTATGAGTTCGGTTGACTGGAACAGCGAAATTGCCAATGCAAAATATCGTCGAGACTGCGAACTTTATGAGAGCGTAATTCTGTAAGTTTTCCATCAAATTTCATACTTTAGGTTTCATTACCTTCGAAAAAAGATTCTCTATCATTTCATAGGAAAAAAATAATTTTTTTTAACTTTCTCAAGCCTGAGAGAAATTCTCAGGTTTAGGATTTAGGCTTAGGCTTAAAAAATATATGTATTCTTACCTGTGGGATATAAATGGATCTAAGTACTGACAAATGGTGTGCTCGGTTGGGTTCAGGAGTTTCAGCTCGGACTTCACCACTTTCTTCTGCCCCACTCACTCCTGTAATTTCAGGTTCTTGGTCTTCTAAAGCTGAATCGACTAACCAACCACCCTCAGGGAACAGCAAGACATTGTACAAGTGGTCACAGGCAGTCTGCAGATAAAATTAAAATTGAAGCTGAGAATGTATATTAAAAATATTTTAAAAATTCTATAAAAGGTGAACAATATGCAGAGAAAAATCATTTTTATTTTCTACAATGAATTGACAGTAGTGCTAAATGGACAAACACTTTAAACTCTTCTTGCATTAAACACCATCACTAGAGAATGTATCTACAACAAACCCCCTGTTCTGCATGGCCACCACACCCTACCACAACTGTAACTACAAAAATTACGGGAAACTGTGAAAATGATAAGATAATGTTTATTTAGAACAATGAATTTAGCATGTTTCACTTAAAGTCCAAATACATGTACATGTACTTGAATTTTTAGGTTATCAAAAACAATCTGAGTCCTGATCTCTTTGGATAATAAGTTTTCTATGACACACTAGCCATCTTCCACCAAGGTAAGGTGATCCCCCCCCCACCAAAAACAAACATTTTCACCATCACTCACTCGATTACTGTCTTGCCAGAGATGTGCCGACATTTGCAGCTCAGATGTCCCTCCAAGCTACAATATTCCCACCACCCCTCCTTCAAAATGCAGGCTATTATTAACCAAAATAGTGAAAACTGTAAACATGAAACTGCTCATTTATTAGACATACACTAATGTTTTTCATGGTTGACTGAAGACTAACTAGGCTGATAGAAGACTAGGGTAAAGTGGATAAAAAAACTTACTCACTTTGGTAATAAGCTTCAAAGTATGTTGCCATCGCTCCATTTCACCTTTGTACTGCTGCTCAGCCTGTTCATAGGCTACCTGCTGAGAAAATCCTGAACCTGCTGCAGGCTTCTGAGGAGCAGATGGTCTCTTTTGATGGTAGTGATCAAACCAATCAGTGAAGGAATCCTGAGCAGACTGAGAAAAACAATTTCCATTATGTAAATCTTCTTCATTCTTTCAACAAACTAGCCATATCAAACTGAGGCAGAGTGGCCCCCCAAAAAAAAACTAAAGTTAGTAATCTTCTTTCTTTCAACAAACTGGCGGTATCCCAACGAGGCAGGGTGGGCCAAAAAGAAAAACAAAAGTTTCTCTTTACAAATTTAGTAATATATACAGGAAAAGGGGTTACTAGCCCCTTGCTCCTGGCATTTTAGTCGCCTCTCACAACACGCATGGCTTACGGAGGAAGAATTCTGTTCCACTTCCCCATGGAGAAACAAGAATTATAGGGAGATATACCTGCTGGATCTAGGTAGTAGGCTGGAAGACAGCAACCTCCCAGGGAGGCACTACCGACCTGCCAGGTGAATGTAATACGGAAGCCTGTATGTACTTGTTTTACATGATGGTAGGATTGCTATTATCTTTTCTCCATCTCATAAACATGCAAGATTTCAGGTTCGTCTTGCTACTTCTACTTATGTCACACTACACATACATTTTTTTTTTTTAACAAGTCGGCCGTCTCCCACCGAGGCAGCGTGACCCAAAAAAGAAAGAAAATCCCCAAAAAGAAAATACTTTCATCATTCAACACTTTCACCACACTCACACATTATCACTGTTTTTGCAGAGGTGCTCAGAATACAACAGTTTAGAAGCATATACATATAAAGATACACAACATACCCCTCCAAACTGCCAATATCTCAAACCCCTCCTTTAAAGTGCAGGCATTGTACTTCCCATTTCCAGGACTCAAGTCCGACTATATGAAAATAACCGGTTTCCCTGAATCCCTTCACTAAATATTACCCTGCTCACACTCCAACAGATCGTCAGGTCCCAAGTACCATTCGTCTCCATTCACTCCTATTTAACATGCTCACGCACGCTTGCTGGAAGTCCAAGCCCCTCGCCCACAAAACCTCCTTTACCCCCTCTCTCCAACCCTTTCGAGGACGATCCCTACCCCGCATTCCTTCCCCTATAGATTTATATGCTTTCCATGTCATTCTACTTTGATCCATTCTCTCTAAATGACCAAACCACCTCAACAACCCCTCTTCTGCCCTCTGACAAATACTTTTATTAACTCCACACCTTTTCCTAATTTCCACACTCCGAATTTTCTGCATAATATTTACACCACACATTGCCCTTAAACAGGACATCTCCACTGCCTCCAACCGTCTCCTCGCTGCTGCATTTACCACCCAAGCTTCACACCCATATAAGAGTGTTGGTACTACTATACTTTCATACATTCCTTTCTTTGCCTCCATAGATAACGTTTTTTGACTCCACATATACCTCAATGCACCACTCATCTTTTTTCCCTCATCAATTCTATGATTAGACTCATCCTTCATAAATCCATCCGCCGACACGTCAACTCCCAAGTATCTGAAAACATTCACTTCTTCCATACTCCTCCTCCCCAATTTTACTTCTTCCATACTCCTCCTCCCCAATTTGATATCCAATTTTTCTTTATCTAAATCATTTGATACCCTTATCACCTTACTCTTTTCTATGTTCACTTTCAACTTTCTACCTTTACACACATTCCCAAATTCATCCACTAACCTTTGCAGGTTTTCTTTAGAATCTCCCATAACCACAGTATCATCAGCAAAAAGTAAATGTGTCAATTCCCATTTTGAATTTGATTCCCCAAAATTTAATCCCGCCCCTCTCCCGAACACCCTAGCATTTACTTCCTTTACAACCCCATCTATAAATATATTAAACAACCATGGTGACATTACACATCCCTGTCTAAGACCTACTTTTACCAGGAAGTAGTCTCCCTCTCTTCTACACACCCTAACCTGAGCCTCACTATCCTCATAAAAACTCTTTACAGCATTTAATAACTTACCACCTATTCCATATACTTGCAACATCTGCCACATTGCTCCTCTATCCACTATCATATGCCTTTTCTAAATCCATAAATGCAATAAAAACTTCCCTACCTTTATCTAAATACAGTTCACATATATGCTTCAATGTAAACACTTGATCTACACATCTCCTACCCACTCTGAAACCTCCTTGCTCATCCGCAATCCTACATCCTGTCTTACCTCTAATTCTTTCAATTATAACCCTACCGTACACTTTTCCTGGTATACTCAGTAAACTTATTCCTCTATAATTTTTACAATCTCTTTTGTCCCCTTTCCCTTTATATAAAGGGACTATACATGCTCTCTGCCAATCCCTAGGTACCTTCCCCTCTTTCATACATTTATTAAACAAAAATACCAACCACTCCAACACTATATCCCCCCTGCTTTTAACATTTCTGTCATGATCCCATCAGTTCCAGCTGCTTTACCCCCTTTCATTCTACGTAATGCCTCACGTACCTCCCCCACACTTACATTCTGCTCTTCTTCACTCCTAAAAGATGGTATACCTCCCTGACCAGTGCATGAAATTACTGCCTCTCTTTCTTCCTTAACATTTAAAAGTTCCTCAAAATATTCTCGCCATCTACCTAATACCTCCATCTCCCCATCTACTAACTCCCCTACTCTGTTTTTAACTGACAAATCCATACTTTCCCTAGGTTTTCTTAACTTGTTTAACTCACTCCAAAATTTTTTCTTTTCTTATTTTCATTAAAATTTCTTGACAGTGCCTCTCCCACTCTATCATCTGCATATATATATACACACCCCTCTGGGTTTTCTTCTATTTTCTTAATAGTTCTTGTTTATTTCCTCTTATTTCCATGGGAAAGTGGAACAGAATTCTTCCTCCATAAGCCATGTGTGCTGTAAGAGGAGACTAAAATGCCAGGAGCAAGGGGCTAGTAACTCCTTCTCCTGTATAAATTACTAAATTTAAAGAGAAACTTTCGTTTTTTTCTTTTTGGGCCACCCTGCCTTGGTGGGATATGGCCAGTTTGTTAAAAGAAGAAGTAAGGCTCAAGTTAGGGTATGCAGGTGAGAGTGGGGCTATTACCCAGCAAAAGCAGGACTTAGACAGGGATGCATGATGTCACCATTGTTGTTTTAACATATTTACAGATGAGGCTGTAAAGGAAGTGAATGCTAGGGTGTTGGTAAGAGGTGTTTGATTGAAAGATGTTGGATATGATACAAGGTGGAGTTATTGCATCTGCCTTTTGTTGATGGCAGTTCTTTTGGGGGATTCTGAAGAAAAGCTGCAAACGTTGGCGAAGGAGTTTGGGAGGGTATGTAAAAGATGGAAACAAAGTGAACATAAAACAGCGCAAGGTGATAGTAACAAAAAATATAGGTAATGAAAGACTGAATAGCAGATTGGAGGAAGTGGATGTATTTAGATATTTGGGAGTGGACATGTCAGAAGATGGGTCTATGAAAGGTAAGGCAAACCACAGAATAGATAAAGGGGTAAAAAGGTGGGTGGTGTGGAGGCATCTGTGGAAAGAAAAGAAGAAGGTTTATCTATGGTAGCAAAAATAGGGAATGTACCAAAATTTAGTGGTACCAAAACTTTTAAATGGGTATGAGGCATGAGTTTTGAACATTGCAGTGAGGAGGAGGCTAGAGTTGGTAGCAATGTAATGTTTGGGAGCAATGTATGGTGTGAATATCATGCAGCGAATTTAAAAGAAATTAAAAGGTGATGCAGGGTCACCATAGGTATAATTCAGAGGGCTGAGCAGGGATTGTTGAGATGATTCAGGTATATACAGAGGATGTAAAGGGATAGGATGACAAAGAGTCTAAATCTGGAGTGGATGGAAGGTGGGGTAGGGGTCATCCCAGGAATGGTTTGAAGGGAAGGGATACAGGTTCTGAATTCTTAGGGCTTGAGCATCCAGCAGACTTGTGTGAGCACGTAAGCATAATCTTTTAGATATATTTCCTAAAAAGAGAGAAACTAATACAGTAACCACTGCACAGATGTCAACAATATCACGAGAAATTCAATGAATAAAGTACATAATTTTTAAAATGCAGTAGCAATAAAAGTCTTGCACAGAAATTTTAACAAAAAACTGGATGAAGGGCAAAAGTGGATGGATGGATAAATGAATACACATATCTGGAAGAACAGGTAAACTGAAGCACATATGAAAAGACAGAGCTATACGGTAACTACTTTATGACTCCTTCATTCAAAATGAAAGAAAAGGGCTGTCAACATAAGGAGCAAATATTATGAAGCTTATTAAACAAAGTAGTGTCACTTACCAAGAAGGTACGTATACAGAAGTATTCTCGTACAACATTTTCAGCCTGTGGTGGAAGGTCAGATGATCCTGTCTCAACTTCATGCTCCCTCATTATTATATCCACTGAATCACTTGGTATCTATTAAATACAGGTAATTTACAAACATTTAAAGAAAAAATACATCTTATTAGTGGTTTAAATGAAAATAAGCTTAAACAGCTATTAAACCAATTTGATGGAAGATTTAGCAATGGATCCTAATCAAATGCATACCTGTACATGTGACTTACTTATGACTGATACTGAGAGTTCTTTTACCCTTACAGCCTGGCCTGAGACTAGGCTTCCTTGTTGACTACCGGGTCACCAAGACTGTTGGTACCAGCAACCAACAGAAAATTACTGTACATACAAATACAGTGAAGTTATTGAAGTACAGTAATAAGTGTCAGCCAACAAAGTACAGTAGCTGATGATTTTAGTTAATTACTATTCTGATGAAAGTATTGACAAATAAACAACTACACCCCCCCCCCACACAGAGCAATGCAAGGTTATGAAGATAAGGTAAGGAGCCAAAAGACTGGACACAGAGTATAGACTCGGGACATAGGCCTCTGACTATCATATCGTCAGAGGCTTATACCAAGTGAATAATCTCTGGAGCCAGTGCTGCCTAGCAAATCTGAGTGGCCTTCAGGAATCTCGACAAAGAGTTATTCTGGGTCCTTTACACAACATGTCAGGCCCAGTATGGCACCCGCACCTGAGGAAGAATGTTAAGAAACTGGAGAAATTGCAGAAGTATGCAAGGAAAGGCTAAATGAACTGAATCTAACAATGTTGGGGGGCAGACAGGGACAGACTGTTTGAGAGGTGGAAAACAGGAGCTTGGGGGCATGGCTGAAAGTTAAAGACACAGATGAGCCACAGTTATGTCAGGAAGTATTTCTTCAATCTCAGGGTGGTCTAGAAGTGGAATGACCCTGATGAAAAAGTGGTGAAAGAAGATTCCATACATAGTTTTAAGAACAGGTATGACAGAGCTCATGAGGCTAGGAGAGTGAATCTAGCAAGCTCTCACATACACCCTTACATCCACTCACCCACTCTGTACATTCATCCTCACACTCACCTACCTGCCCTGTCACATTCACCCCTCACACCCACCCACCCTCCCTCTCCTATTTCACCTACCTACCTTCTCATATTCACTCTTGTGCCCACCTACCCTCTCACATACCCATCCATGCTCACACAAACATCTCATACCCACCTTTAACATCAACCCCCTCAAATCCATCCTCTCTCATACACCCATTTACCTGCCATATCTCATATATCTACCTACCCACCCTCTCTCTCATACCCACCCCTCACCCTTACACCTACCCACACACCCTCATGATCTCTCCCATCCCCACCCACATTTACACCCTCTCTCATAACCTTCCACCCTCATACCCACACATCTACTTATGCTTTCTGAAACCCACCCTCCCCCACTCTCTGTTCACTCACTCTCTCTCATCCACCCACTTTCCCTTCCTCACAGCCTCACTGTTTTGCTTTACATGTTAGAGTTCTTTATGTCCAGTAGTGTTTCCAGAACCAACTATCATGAGAAATAAATTTTATAATTCGAAAACAATGGACAATTGGCAATAACATTCACCCCTTTTTCCCTATTACTCTGTTAATGAGGGTTCACTGTACCACTCTGTGTTCTATCTGTAAGAAACTAGAATATCCAGTTATTTTCCTTGTGTGCAATCACCCTGATTGCATTGGTCAAGTGCCTTTGCAAAATCTGTGTACATAACATCAATGTTTTCATTTTCTTCCAATGCCTCTGTAATTCTGTCCAAGTGGTTTAATAGCTGTGGCAAGCATTTTTCTTCCCGCTCTAAATCATAATAACTATCTGCCCACGATCAGTAAAAAGAATAAATAAAGCTAGGTTTTGCACCTTATGAATACTGTAACTGTTATTTACGTACAGGTACACTAAATTCCTTTCCTCCGTTTTCTGCCATTTCTGAGAACATGTGCTTAATCATAATATGACAACAGCAACATCCTGACTGTTCAGAGTTCTGCTGTGATTAACAGATAGAGGAAAGAGCTCCCGGCATTCCTTGAATAACCCACTTGGGTTTAGTGCTTCCTCAAACTCCATTAATCCTAATCTTACACCCTGCATGACTAGAAATAACTAACCAAGTCTCATAATTTATTAAAAAAAAATTATGTCAGAAACCCTGCACAAGTACCTAATCCACTAGAAGATACCAATGCATATGTATTGAATGAATTTTTATATACAGTTGTTGGTTGCAAAATTGCCATCATTGAGGTATCTGGATATGACTACCAATAATCTCAATTGGGGACTCAAAATAAATCACTAGATACAGTAGGACCCCCATAGCCATGGTTTACCACATCCCAAAAATAACCCTTAATTCTGCTTAATAATGGTCTCAAAGTGCAAAAGTAATGATGGTGGAAATTCTTCAAATCTTAAGAGAAACTGTGAAGTGCTTCCCATCAGTGAAAGTGATAATTCTCCACTTATTGTGCATAATTTATCAATTAAACTTTATATTATTTTTTTTATTATTATTAACACACTGGCTGATTCCCATCAAGGCAGGGTGGCCCAAAAAAGAAAAACTTTCACCATCATTCACTCCATCACTGTCTTGCCAGAAGAGTGCTTTACACTACAGTTTTTAAACTGCAACATTAACACCCCTCCTTCAGAGTGCAGGCACTGTACTTCCCATGTATGTAGGTATGTGTAGGACTTATATATAGGGTTCATTACTATCTGCGGTTTCAGTATCTGTGGCAGGTCCTTGGAACGTATTCCCACAGACACGGGGGCCCTACTGTACTTACAAGGTAAACGGATAGACAAAATCATCATTATACATATACACATCGAAGACCCTACTTGAATTCCTGTGGATCACATTTTTAATGAAAATAATATTTTATAGTTAACTCATTGAAACATACTTTGTTAAATAAAGCACGAGTGGCTCCAATCTTGCGCGAGACAAGAAAAGTGCGCATAAGAGCATTGGATTGTCTAAGAGCTTCTACTCGTTGTTGTGGGTCATACAACAGCCAGTCTATAGCACTGATTTTAACTCGATCCTCTGCTGTAGTTTCTGACACCACTTCTCCCTCAGGATCACGAATGTTGGATGATAATCTGAAACATACAGCTCAAATTACTTTTTATCAGTGTTATATGGTTATGATAACATAACAGAATGCTAATTCTTTTTTTTGTCTTTTAACAGAAGATAAGCTCATTTAGAATCTAGGCACAATAATGCAGTATTAATGTTTAGTGTGTCACATATATAACACCCAAACAAACAAAATTACAGGAATAATGTTATAAATACAGCCTCTCCTCACTTAGCGATGTACTCATTTACCAACGCCTCGGACTTACGATGGGCTCTCTGACCTAAATGCAGTGGACCCTCGACTAACGCTATTAATCCGTTCCTGAGAGCTCATCGTTAGTCAAAATAATCGTTAGTCAAGTTAATTTTCCCCATAAGAAATAATGGAAATCAAATTAATCCGTGCAAGACACCCAAAAGTATTGAAAAAAAATTTTTTAGCACATGAAATATTAATTTTAATACATACAAACTGAAGAAGACATGCACAGTTACATGACACTTACCTTTATTGAAGATCTGGTGATGATTGATGGGATGGCAAGAGGGGAGTGTATTGATGGTCTTAGTGTTTAGAAGGGGAATCCCCTTCCATTAGGACTTGAGGTGGCAAGTCCTTTTTCGGGGTTACTTCCCTTCTTCTTTTATTGCCACTAGGACCAGCTCGAGAGTCACTGGACCTCTGTCGCACAACATATCTGCCCATAGAGGCCTGTACCTCCCGTTCCTTTATGACATTCCTAAAGTGTTTCACAACATTGTCAGTGTCACCATTAAACACTCGTTCAGGTTTCAGTCCTTCACTGTCTATGTACTCCTTGAATTCCTGCACATATTTTTCAGCTGCTTTTTGGTCCAAACTGGCAGCCTCACCATGCCTTATCACACTATGCATGCCACTACAATTCTTAAATCTCTCAAACCAACCTTTGCTGGCTTTAAATTCACTCACATCACCACTAGTTGCTGGCATTTTTCTAATTAAATCGTCATGCAACTTCCTAGCCTTTTCACATATGATCGCTTGAGAGATGCTATCTCCTGCTATCTGTTTTTCGTTTATCCACACCAATAACAGTCTCTCAACATCTTCTATCACTTGCGATCTCAGTTTCGAAAACATAGTTGCACCTTTGGCAAGAACAGCTTCCTTGATTGCCGTTTTCTTGGCCACAATAGTAGCGATGGTTGATTGGGGTTTTGTGTACAACCTGGCCAGCTCGGAGACATGCACTCCACTTTCATACTTAGCAATGATCTCTTTCTTCATATCCACAGTAATTCTCACCCTTTTTGCTGTAGGGTTGGCACTAGAAGCTTTCTTGGGTCCCATGGTGACTTATTTTGCAGGTGCAATCACTAAAAAGGCTGTGATAATATAAAATGTTCCGATTGTATGCTTGGAAGCGACCGCGGTGGCTGGCTGGCTTGTAAACACTGGCCAGAAGTGGACGCGTCTCAGACGGAACGAATAGTGTTGGTCGAGTTTTTTTAGCGCTAATCGAGGCAAAATTTTTGCGATAAAATGTATCGCTAGTCAGATTTATCGATAATCGATGCTATCGCTGGTCGAGGGTCCACTGTAATGTATATTAGAGCTGATTTCCTCCGTTCTGTTTATTTCAATATACAGTGGACCCCCGCATAACGATCACCTCCGAATCCGACCAATTATGTAAGTGTATTTATGTAAGTGCGCTTGTACGTGTATGTTTGGGGGTCTGAAATGGACTAATCTACTTCACAATATTCCTTATGGGAACAAATTCGGTCAGTACTGGCACCTGAACATACTTCTGGAGTGAAAAAATATCATTAACCGGGGGTCCACTGTACAGTATACTACTGTATAAACATTTAAATATATGCCAGGAATGTTATATATGGTGAAAAGATGACATTAAAATAATATCAAAGATGACTGACACAAACCTACTACCATTATATTATGCTTCTCACTTAGCGACGAATTCGGTTAACGACGTGGTCTCAGGAACAGAACTCCATCATTAAGTGAGGAGAGGCTGTACTTAGACTCATAAAAGCTAAAGCATTCACAAACAATATAGCCAATACGTATACAGGGTGTTTGAAAGGGATGGATCCAATTTCAAAGCAGTCTGCTTTGAAATTGGGTACATCTTTTTTAAACACCTTGTATATGTCATGCGTCTTCTGCAAAGTAGGTCTAACAAATCAAACCGATCTAGAAAAAGATCTTTTTGAATATTTTCTTATATGCAGCCTAACCTTTACTTGTTAAAATTAACAAATTACTGTACTGTATAATTTAACTTAACCTATCTTAGGCCAGCCTAAATTTAGTTAACATTTAACACCAATGAAATACAATTTCATGAAGTTCCAATTGATTTGCTTCGTGTTACTGAAACAATAAATTTGCATGAAACTTGATAGCAAAATGATCATTGCTTTATAATCCAATGCAGCAGGCTTCACCTGAAAATAATTAAATAAACAAAATAAAAATCATCTACATGCTTTGCAAACCCCAATGACCACACAAAGGTGACATATCATATAAGGAATTGTGAATAAAAATGGGGCATTGTATAATACCTAATTTACTTAATGCAAAACAGCACAAAGTTAGGGAAACTTGTAGTACTTAACCCTAAGAAGAAAGTTTACTGTTCTATCTTTGAAGAGTTCAAAACAGAAACATCTCATACAGCCAGATAAAGATAAATATATCTCAATCTAGGTAATGGAAACATTACAAATCCCTACCTGATACTGGTGACAACAGCTGAGGTGATTGCATGTGTATCTAGTCCTACAGTGGCAGCAAGCTGTAGAGCGTGACGGCGATGGTGGTCATCTGTTATATTATGGAGGAAACGTGCGTACCACTCCACCTGAAGCCATGTGGGTAATACAGAGGTATACCAGGCCACTTGTTCAACATCCCCACGCTCAATGGCTTCCTATGTTATGAACAAATATGTATAACTGAAGTGAGACTTTCAAATTTTTTTTTTAACACAATAAGCTAGTAAACTTAAACAGCAATAAGCAACAACTTCAAATTTGGTAAAACTAAATTGCATTCATGTGCAACACATTTTTTAAATAACTACATAAGAACTAATGGAGGATAAAACTATTCTGTATTTATGTATTAATTTTTGAGCCAATAAAAAACTAAATTTGCTACAGGCTTGCCTTACTTAATGCACAAATTGCTTTTCTGGAAAAATTTTAGTTAGCAGGGTCTAAATTAATGGAATCTCACTATCCACTGAACCCAATTACTGTATGAACAATTATTTTCAACACAACAGCTGTTTCCCACCAAAGCAGGATAACCCAAAAAGAGGAAACCCAGTCACCATAACTATCTTCAAAACAAACCCAGTCACCATAACTATCTTCAGAACAAACTCAGTCAAAATAACTATCTTCAGAACAAAGGCAGTGTGTTTCCTCACATGCCGAACTCAAGTCTTCACGTTGTTAAACAAAATTTGCATGGTCCAATCCCAAGTGTCAACTGTCTCAACTCACTCAGATCTAACATGCCTGCACATCCTTGCTGGATGCACCAGCTTCTACTTCTCAAAACCTCCTTTACATCCTCCCTCAAACCCTCCATAGGGTGTCCTTTACGGGGGAGATATAAGCGACTGTTGGCAGAAAGGTGGGTTAGTGCAAAGATGAGTAGTGGGGGGGTTGAAGAGGGTTGGAATAGTTTTAAAAATGCAGTATTAGAATGTGGGGCAGAAGTTTGTGGTTATAGGAGGGTGGGGGCAGGTGGAAAGAGGAGTGATTGGTGGAATGATGAAGTAAAGGGTGTGATAAAAGAGAAAAAGTTAGCTTATGAGAGGTTTTTACAAAGCAGAAGTATTATAAGAAAAGCAGAGTACATGGAGAGTAAAAGAAAGGTGAAGAGAGTGGTGAGAGAGTGCAAAAGGAGAGCAGATGATAGAGTGGGAGAGGCACTGTCAAGAAATTTTAATGAAAATAAGAAAAAATTTTGGAGTGAGTTAAACAAGTTAAGAAAGCCTAGGGAAAGTATGGATTTGTCAGTTAAAAACAGAGTAGGGGAGTTAGTAGATGGGGAGAGAGAGGTATTAGGTAGATGGCGAGAATATTTTGAGGAACTTTTAAATGTTGAGGAAGAAAGGGAGGTGGTAATTTCATGCACTGGTCAGAGAGGTATACCATCTTTTAGGAGTGAAGAAGAGCAGAATGTAAGTGTGGGGGAGGTACGCGAGGCATTACGAAGAATGAAAGGGGGTAAAGCAGCTGGAACTGATGGGATCATGACAGAAATGTTAAAAGCAGGCGGGGATATAGTGTTGGAGTGGTTGGTACTTTTGTTTAATAAATGTATGAAAGAGGGGAAGGTACCTAGGGATTGGCAGAGAGCATGTATAGTCCCTTTATATAAAGGGAAAGGGGACAAAAGAGATTGTAAAAATTATAGAGGAATAAGTTTATTGAGTATACCAGGAAAAGTGTACGGTAGGGTTATAATTGAAAGAATTAGAGGTAAGACAGAATGTAGGATTGCGGATGAGCATGGAGGTTTCAGAGTGGGTAGGGGATGTGTAGATCAAGTGTTTACATTGAAGCATATATGTGAACAGTATTTAGATAAAGGTAGGGAAGTTTTTATTGCATTTATGGATTTAGAAAAGGCATATGATAGAGTGGATAGGGGAGCAATGTGGCAGATGTTGCAAGTATATGGAATAGGTGGTAAGTTACTAAATGCTGTAAAGAGTTTTTATGAGGATAGTGAGGCTCAGGTTAGGGTGTGTAGAAGAGAGGGAGACTACTTCCCGGTAAAAGTAGGTCTTAGACAGGGATGTGTAATGTCACCATGGTTGTTTAATATATTTATAGATGGGGTTGTAAAAGAAGTAAATGCTAGGGTGTTCGGGAGAGGGGTGGGACTAAATTATGGGGAATCAAATTCAAAATGGGAATTAACACAGTTACTTTTTGCTGATGATACTGTGCTATATGGGAGATTCTAAAGAAAAATTGCAAAGGTTAGTGGATGAGTTTGGGAATGTATGTAAAGGTAGAAAGTTGAAAGTGAACATAGAAAAGAGTAAGGTGATGGGGGTATCAAATGATTTAGATAAAGAAAAATTGGATATCAAATTGGGGAGAGGAGTATGGAAGAAGTGAATGTTTTCAGATACTTGGGAGTTGACGTGTCGCGGATGGATTTATGAAGGATGAGGTTAATCAAGAATTGATGAGGGGAAAAAAGGTGAGTGGGCATTGAGGTATATGTGGAGTCAAAAACGTTATCTATGGAGGCAAAGAAGGGAATGTATGAAAGTATAGTAGTACCAACACTCTATATGGTGTGAAGCTTGGGTGGTAAATGCAGCAGTGAGGAGACGGTTGGAGGCAGTGAGATGTCCTGTCTAAGGGCAATGTGTGGTGTAAATATTATGCAGAAAATTCGGAGTGTGGAAATTAGGAAAAGGTGTGGAGTTAATAAAAGTATTAGTCAGAGGGCAGAAGAGGGGTTGTTGAGGTGATTTGGTCATTTAGAGAGAATGGATCAAAGTAGAATGACATGGAAAGCATATAAATCTATAGGGGAAGGAAGGTGAGGTAGGGTCATCCTTGAAAGGGTTGGAGAGAGGGGGTAAAGGAGGTTTTGTGGGCAAGGGGCTTGGACTTCCAGCAAGCGTGCGTGAGCGTGTTAAATAGGAGTGAATGGAGACGAATGGTACTTGGGACCTGACGATCTGTTGAAGTGTGAGCAGGGTAATATTTAGTGAAGGGATTCAGGGAAACCGGTTATTTTCATATAGTCGGACTTTGAGTCCTGGAAATGGGAAGTACAATGCCTGCACTTTAAAGGAGGAGTTTGGGATATTGGCAGTTTGGAGGGATAAGTTGTGTATCTTTATACGTATATGCTTCTAAACTGTTGTATTCTGAGCACCTCTGCAAAAACAGTGATTATGTGTGAGTGTGGTGAAAGTGTTGAATGATGATGAAAGCATTTTCTTTTTGGGGATTTTCTTTCTTTTTTGGGTCACCCTGCCTCGGTGGAAGACGGCCGACTTGTTAAAAAAAAAAAAAAAAAAAAAAAAAAAAAAAAAAAAAAAAAAAAAAAAAATTATTATACTCCAGTATTGATGTCTTTCCCAATCCTATCCATAAATACAGAGGCACTGTGATATTCCACATTCCTGCATAAGGACCATTTTTACTAGAAAATACACTTTTTGTTTCCTATGTGTACAAACCTTATGCTGAGCTTCACTAATAAGAACTGCCACATCGCTCTCTTATCCACCTTATTTTTTTAAATCAATAAATGCAACGAGTAGCTCTTGACACTTAAACATGGGTCATTTATATGCCTACATATAAACTATCTACATACATTGTCTCACTAAATCAAACTAGTCCCTATGTAATCTTACATTCTTTTTTCTTTACTTTCACTCTTTCAGTACTAATTTAGAAGATACAATATACCCAACTGGTATAGTCCTTTATAATTCTTACTCTCTCTCATTTTCCACTTTCTCCTCATAGACAGGACTTGTACATGTTCTTGTCATTTATGAACTAGTTGCTAGAGCAACAAAGATGCTGCAGTTATTATAAAAAGAGAAGCCCCTACCCCCCTCAGGCTGAAATTTCATTAGTAAAAGGATGTCTCACAGGCAGACAAAATCCTTCCATTACAGCAGAACCTGCAACGAGATTAGTGAATAATTCGACCTTTAAATCATATTCCACTGATAATTTACTAACAATCTAAGGAAGGAATTCTATATAGAATTGTATGTTATTTGTCTTCTAACATTTGACAGACAGATTAAACTTTCTGAAATGCACCTCAATTTATGTAAAGGAAAACTATATAATTTTGCTTTAAAAAGTTTTGTTTTAAAATGCAACACATTCATTAAGTGGGCACGTCTATAAGATGCAGCCAAAGTTCACACAAACCTTCACACAAGCTCAAGTATATCGGTACAGAGAGGTTCCAGTTGCTGAGAGATACGACCAATCCTTCGCAGAAACAGCACCAGGTGAGTAAGGCACCTTAAAAGATGGGGTGCTAAACCATTTCTAAGCCATACATGAGCCTCCTGGAGTAGAGATTCCATATCATCCAGAATGAGATATTTCTGAAGAATATGGTAAGGGTTTTTGTGCTGCAGCTTTTGAACTTCTGGACGACTCTCCACCGCCTCTAACACACCCTTTATAGAAAATCTGGAAAACAAAATGTAGATAGTTTCCTAGTAATTCAGTGAACTGTGAAATCAACTTCTAACTAAACTATACCTTATCACCTCTGAAAGAACATGAAACTTTTAATAAAGAAAAATATAGTAATGATGCAGTCAATGGCAATGAAAATGAAGAAAAATAATTAGGACTATTTAACCTAGTATGGTTAATAACCCAGGATAACCCAACAAAACCATGCAGTACAACTTATTTCCACTGTTTAACTGACCAAAAAAGATTCCATCTTGTTGACAGCCCCAAGTGCCAATGCATTACTTAGTAAAAAATCAATTATTACTGCAGATTGGTCATCATAAGTTTAATACAAGAAAAGGGGAGGTGGATGGAGCAGAAAAGGAAGGGGGAGAGATAGGGATGGGTGAAATTGTGAAATAAAAGGGTGTAGGTAAATAATGCAAGGGAAGGAGAGAAAGGAAAGATGACTGGTCTATCCATTCTTGACTGGGAGTAAGATTAACTTGATTTTGTCATCAATTTTATGAGGGTAATTTGTCGAATCAACAAATCCTGAGGCAAGTTTGAAGCAGTATGTAGTGGGTCCATTCTGTATCTTTTAGAAGAGCGTAGGCTCTCAGTAGGTGATGGCAATGTGCTGTTGATTCTGTAAGAAGGTCCTCCTATCCAGCAAAGTGAGGAATTCTTGTTGGTTGAGTTCCAGTGAAGGGGAGTGTGTGTGTGTGTGTGTATACATGACTGTCCCTCCATAATTCCTTGGTAGTGTTTGTTATGTGTGTTTCCATTTGGAATTTATGCTCTCGAAGCAGATAATGATGGAGCTGGTGTCTATTGGTAGGGTTGTGTCAACAGGTACTAATGGAGGAGTGTGTTCTCTGAGTGCTGCTCTGTGAGAAATTCACTGGTAAGCTGAGCTGGCAGTTGTAGTGGTGTCTGGCAGGTATATCCCCCAAAAGGGGGATATTCTCTCAAAAATGTACTATTATGTCTCATAAATAATCCTGGCCCACTCTGTACTACTCTCTAATCTATCCATGCCTCACCTATGGTATCTGTGCATGGGGATCAACATCAGTTAATCACCTTAAACCTGTTTTCACTCACCAAAAACAAGCTCTCAGAATAATCATTCATTCAGGCTCCAGGCAATGCATACCCCTCATTTGCTTAACATACAAAATATTCACACTTTCTACTGTACTGTACATAATATGTCTTCAGGACTCAACTCAAACATTAACCCATAGCTTATATTCTATCAGGAAAGCTGCCAATTCCTAGCTATTTTGCTAGTATGTCTTCTGTTCTATTGACTCAGCTCTCAGGACACCTTATAATGTGCACTAAACTGGTGACTTGTCCAATTTCCCACAAAATTAGAAAAATATACACTAAAGGTATTCCAGTCAGAAAAGCAATCTTTCCTCTGTTTATTAATCGTGTCCCCAGGCCTCTCCTGTACAACACTTGCCCTCCATTATGAATCCATCTTGATAACCACACACACACACACACAATTACAGGTCAGCCATCACTAATCCAGCAATCAGTAATCCGGCACTAATTTTGGCTAGTGTAATTTCAAATTTCTTGGGTCACCACACCAACCTGCCACTACTGTTTGATGGGGCTACTTGCTGCATAAGTCATTCCAATTTCATTTTCTCCATTTATTGTTATAACCTGCTCACTTTTAGCCTTAGCCATGGTTCCAACAAATAAAAGAAATATTTTTCATTGTGTAAATCTCATACACTGTACATTGTCCATAAAGGATAAGGTGGCTTTGAAGCAGCTGTCAGAAGCCATGAACTCAGCTCATTCAGTTAAGCTGTGATCGGTAAATTTGGGCCTACATATGACAGAATAGGTCTCTGTGGTAAGTGTGTGCTATATAAAAAAAATTCTGCAGCACACAGTGCATAATGAGAAAAATGTGATGGGGTTTTTGGTGTAAAACAGAGGCTTTGTGGTGCATTTTCGTATGGTTTTTATGGTTATATTCTCATTTTTTTTGGTCTCGCTTGATAGAATGGAAGATATATTACAGAAATAAATATGATTTTGATTGGTTTTACGAAGGAAAGTGTGTACCTTGAAACTGAGCTCAAAGTAGTGAAAATGTTCGAGTTTTGCCGATGTTCAAGAGTAAATAAATGACATCACCATTCAACTGGCTGGTCTAATATGCAGTCACAAATGGGCTGACATTATTTATACAATTATTACAAAAATGCAGTAGTCTGTATAACATAAACCCTCTGTTTTTTGTGTGAATAAAAATTCAAAATGGAAAGCAAGTGTAAAATAAGAGGAGCCTGGAGACATAACTAATGAACAGAGAAAATGTTATTTTAGTGCCAGGAATGTCTGCACTGTTTATTTTGGACCTTATTTTGAAATTGTCATCTCTTGAAATTTGTGTGAGATTGGCCAAATTACCAATTACTAACGATTTTACTGGGAAGTTGAAATAAGTAAATGGGCAGTTTCTTGTATTCAATTGACAGAATAGAAGGAATACTTGTGAAATAGCTATGAGTTTGGTCGATTGGAACAATGGAATGGGCCAAAAATAGGGCGTAAAGTAGGTGAAATTACCGATGTGTAAATATTGCTATTGGGTTACGTGTATTTTAGTATAAACCTTGGTAATAAATGCTGACAAGTTGGTTTAGAAAACCTATTAACCCTTTCAGGGTTTCGGCCGTACTAGTATGGCTTACGCCCCAGGGTTTTTTATGTACAGTGGATCCTCGCCTAACGATATTAATCCGTTCTGACAGCTCAACGTTAGGCGAATTAATTTTCCCCATAAGAAATAATGGAAATCAAATTAATCCGTGCATGACACCCCAAAGTATGAAAAATTTTTTTTTTTACCACATGAAATATTAATTTTAATACAAACTGAAGAAGAGATGTACAATACATAACACTTACCTTTATTGAAGATCTGGTGGTGACTGATGGGATAGAAGGAGGGGAGAGTGTGGATGGTCTTAGTGTTTAGAAGAGGAATCCCCTTCTATTAGGACTTGAGGTGTCAAGTCCTTTTCTGGGGTTACTTCCCTTCTTCTTTTAATGCCACGGACCCTTAAGGTCACTGGCCTCGTCGCACAATTATCTGTATAGGGGCCTGTACCTCTCGTTCCTTTATGATTTTTCCTAAAGTGGTTCACAACATTGTTTAGTGAAAATAGTCACCAGCAGGTTTTGCTAGCTGTTCGGGGTGATTTTCATCAAAAAAAAGGTTTGCACTTGAAGCACATTGCAAAATTTTTCCAAAATCTTTGAAGTAGGAAACTTCTTAAATTTTTCCCTTCTCCCCTCCCCCGAAGCTTTCCTCAGGTCGGGCCCTCTTCGTTAAAGATGACTAGAGCTATCAGTGGTTGTTCGTCATTGTCTCCCCAAACTCTTCCACACCCTCCCCAATATGAGAAATAGTTCCAGGCTTTTTTTTCCTGTTCCCCGGGGTGTTGTAACTGTTGGGGTTGCTCCTGGAGGACAAGTTTAAAGGCCCCAAGGGAAAAATAATTAGACCAGCCTCGATGAGCACTACTTTTTGGGTTATCCGGGGTGGCTAACCCCTGGGTTAATCTTTCTCGGTAATGTTTATGTTAAGCCATCCAACAAAAAAAACTTCCACATCTTTGAGTAATACTGTGATGGTGGTCAGCAACGAACAGTGACGTGGTGCAGCAACAGCTGCCGTGGGTTTCGCAACAGTGTGGTGCAGCAGCAGCTGACTTAGTGCAGCAAAGTGCAGTGGTTTTCAGCAGCAGCTGACTGTGGTATGATAGTTAATTTTTCACCCTTTTTTCCACAGGGTTTTCACTAGAAGCTTTCTTGGGGCCAGGTCACTTATTTTGAGGTGAAACACTAAAAAGCTGGATAAAATTGAAATGTTCCAATTGTAGCTTGGATGTGACCCTGGGGGGGCTTGTAAACACTGCCCCCTACGGAACAAATGAGGCTGGTCAGGCCCCACGTGGAGCTCTCAGACGAATCAGTTTAGTGAGTTTTTTTAGTGCTAGGAGGCAAAATTTTTTTGTTAAAAAAAAGTATCGCTAGGCGGATTTAAAATTATGCGATGCCACGTTAGGCAGGGGCATGTACTAGTACGCTAAATTTAGCGCCCCATATCTAGTGAGGAAAACGGAGGGGACATATGAAAAAGGGTTATGTGGGCAGTGTGCAATGATAAAAAACCTGCAAAAACAGTGGTAAAAGAAAAAAAAAAATTTTACCGTATTTTTGGATTAAAACAGCGACTTCACTGTTTTTGTTTTTTGGTATTTATTGTTTTATTTTAGCTTTCCTGGGCTATTTTTTTAGAATGGGGGACATATTACAGAAATTGAGTGGTTTTGACTGGGGTTTTTTAATGAAAAGTACCTTGAAATTGAGCTCAAAGTAGCAGAAATGTTCAATTTTTACCAAAGTTCAAAAGTAAACAAATCATGCCAAGCGTCCAATACACGTCAACTGGTGAGTCTAATATTCTTTCACAAGTGTGCTGATATTATTTATACCATTTCTACACTAATGCAGTAGTCTGCATAACAGTAAATCTTCTATTTTTTGTAAGAATAAAAATTCAAAGTGGAAAGCCAAAGAAATATAAGAGGGGCCTGGGGATGTGACAAACGAACAGAGAACTTGTTATTTTAGTGCCAGGAATGTCTTTCTTGTTTATTCTGGACTTTATCCGGAAATTGGCATCTTTTGAAATTTATGTGAAACTGGCAAAATTGCTAAATTCTGACCACTTTATTCTTCTTCTTTCAACAAACCGGCCATATCCCACCGAGGCAGGGTGGCCCAAAAAGAAAAACAAAAGTTTCTCTTTTTAAATTTAGTAATTTATACAGGAGAAGGGGTTACTAGCCCCTTGCTCCCGGCATTTTAGTCGCCTCTTACAACACGCATGGCTTACGGAGGAAGAATTCTGTTCCACTTCCCCATGGAGATAAGAGGAAACAAACAAGAACAAGAACTAGAAAGAAAATAGCAGAAAACCCAGAGGGGTGTGTGTATATATATGCTTGTACATGTGTAGTGTGACCTAAGTGTAAGTGATAGTTGAAATCGGTAAATGGGTGGGTTCTTGTACTCATTTGATAGAAAAAATGGAGTTCTAGCGAAATAGTTATGATTTTTGTTGACTAATACATTGGAATTGGCCAAAAATAGGGCTCAAAGTGGGCAAAATCGCCGATGCGTAAACATCGTCGAGACTGCTAACTTTGCGAGAGCATAATTCCGTAAGTTTTCCATCAAATTTCATACTTTTGGTGTCATTATGATCGGGAAAAAATTCTCTACCTTTTCATAATTTTTTTTTTTTTTTTTTTGAATTTGGGGGACCCTGAGAACAAGTCTGTGAGAGGGCCTGTGGACCCTGAAAGGGTTAAAAACCAATAAAATGGACCAGGGTGGCTAGGGAGCCATATCCTTCAGTAAAATTGGCCAAAAATTGAATATTTTTGCCACTTTGAGATCTATTTCATGCTATTTTTGGCTAAAACCAACCAAAATAATCTCTATTTCACTATTATTTCTTCCATTCTTTCAATTACTACCAAGAAACAGCCAATAAAACCCTCCCTAGAAAGAATATCAAATCATCTACCAAACATGCACTGTCTGGGGGAAGAATCATTTTATACTGTGACCTCACTGCACAGTCTCATTTTCTTATGTCTAGGTCAAAATTTACTGCTTGCAGCATATTTGAGGGAGCTGTGCTTAAAATGTAGATCTACATGAGTGAAACTGATGTTAATGACAGATTTATGTGGGAGATAATGAAAGGATCGAGATAATCCAATTGCACAATTATACCAGGGATGTTGTCTGTAAAATCTACTGGTAACTTTTTTTTAAATATAAATTAATGCCTCGCTTTTGTTAAGCCACACTGTGTAAAAATGGTTTAAATGTTTTAAATTACTAATGCTTCAAAACAATTCAGGTGATCCATTTTTTTTTATATTTTAACTAACTACACCTTCTTAAAAGCATGAAAATACAATACACTACATGAAAGAAAAACCTCTTACTTTTCTTCTGGGAAATCTTGAGGTAGAGGGTGTAGTGGCCGAAGGTGTGTGTTAGCACCCCGCAGCTGCTCTTCCACCCACTGATCCACCATAGCACGAGTATATGCCCAGAGCACATCATACCATGTATGACATACTGCAAGTACAGATGGTAAGTGGCCACAGAGAGCACCATAGATGGCTCTTTCATGTGATGGCAGACGCTCATCACTGGCAATCCGCCAAGCTACTGCTTTCCATACATCTCTGAAAAGAATTAGTTAATTATAATAAGCTATCTTTGCTTATCATTCTCAAACTAACATATCAGCAAACAAAGAGGCTTTAGTCAAACATGTATAATATCTCCATGTCTGTTAACATCTTTATAAATGTGACTGTAGGAGAATGGTGGTGGGATTAAGATAACTGTGGCCCTAAAATATAGTTTCTGAATTCCAACAGGAGCTGGCACAATTATTTGTTTGCTGATTATATAGTGCTACTAGGAAACAAAGAGAAGCTCCACAAACTGAATACAGAGTTTGAAAAAGTAGAGGGAAAGCTGAAAGGAAATTCCCCAAAAAATATAAGAGGAAAAAAAAAAAAAAGCAGTGAAAAAGTGGGCTCAAAATAGAAGGAAGGGCAAGGAATATATTCAGATAATTGGAAGTAGATTCAACAGCAGATGGTTTTATGAAAAATGGGGTAAATCACAGAATAGAAGCATAAAAATTACATGTTGAAAATTCTATGGAAAGAAATGTGGCAAAGGTTAATAAAATGGGAATGTATCAAGTGTGCAGCGGGTGTTTCAATGTGCTTTGATGTAATGTGGATATTAAGAAGAAACTGATTTTGAATGTCATGAATGGAAAAAAGCTAGATGCCCTATCTTTAAGAGAAATGAAACTAAAGAGGGCAGGAGAATTGCAGTGGGAAGGTATTAATTCAATTAAGCCAGGAGTATCTGAGAGAGTCAGAGCTAAAGACGTAGTTATAACATTAAATGATCAATTCTGGAAAGAAAAGAGGGAATGTATAGGAGGCCCTTCACATTTGTGAGGGTTAGGAGATCAAGAACCTCACAAATCTTGAAAATTTGTGAATGTTTGGTGCGTAAATATGATGTAGGGAAATATAATAATATTCGTGAATGTTTTGATGCACAAATATATTGGAGCAAAATATAATAATAGCATTTACTAAGTCTAACAATACTGCTTCCTGAACTATTGAACCATGAACAATCATAAAACACATAAAAACATCGTAAAATATTGTATATGTGTGTTGTGGTTTAATAACAAATAATGAACAAACAAAACACTCTCCACTTGTAAAGTTAGGCAGAATTGCTCAAATTACCTGCCCTACACTTGTCTAACAATTTCAACTTCTCCTCCAGATTCATGACTTTCTTTGAGTGCTTATGGGTTGGCTCATCAATAGTGGTTGCTGCTCGCTTGGGGCATACTTGCCCCCACCACACAAACACACGTGTACGGTAGGACATGAACAGTAACTGGACATGACCGACGTGAACAGTAAGAACATAAGAAATAAGGAACACTGCACCAGGCCTACTGACCCATGTGAAGCAGGTCCATGCCACCCCCCAGCTTAGAACAATGACCATCTAATCAGGTCACTTCCAATTAAGGAAGGAGCACAGCACCAGACCTGGTAGCACAAGCTAGTCAGGTCCAACTCACACCCACCCACACCCACTCATGTATTTATCCAACCTATTTTTAAAACTACACAAGGTCTTAGCTTCTATGGTGGTACTTGGGAGTTTGTTCCACTCATCCACAACTCTATTACCAAACCAGTGCTTTCCTATGTCCTTCCTGAATCTGAACTTTTCCAACTTGAAACCATTGCTGCGAGTCCTGTCTTGGCTGGATATTTTCAGCAAGCTATTTACATCCCCTAGGTAGTAGGTTGGTAGACAGCAACCGCCCAGGGAGGTACTACCGTCCTGCCAAGTGAGTGTAAAATGAAAGCCTGTAATTGTTTTACATGATGGTAGGATTGCTGGTGTCCATTTTTCTGTCTCATAAACATGCAAGGTTTCAGGTACATCTTGCTACTTCTACTTACACTTAGGTCACACTACACATACATGTACAAGCATATATATACACACACCCCTCTGGGTTTTCTTCTATTTTCTTTCTAGTTGTTGTTCTTGTTTATTTCCTCTTACCTCCATGGGGAAGTGGAACAGAATTCTTCCTCCGTAAGCCATGCGTGTTGTAAAAGGCGACTAAAATGCCAGGAGCAAGGGGCTAGTAACCCCTTCTCCTGTATATATTACTAAATGTAAAAGGAGAAACTTTTGTTTTTCCTTTTGGGCCACCCCGCCTCGGTGGGATACGGCCGGTGTGTTGAAAGAAAGAAAAGATTTACATCCCCTTTATTTATTCCTGTTTTCCATTTATACACCTCAATCATATCCTCCCTAATCTATGCCCTTCTAGAGTGTGCAGATTCAGGGCCCTCAGTCTATCCTCATAGGGAAGATTTCTGATACAGTGGAACCTCAAAAATTGAACTTAATCTGTTCCAGGAGCTAGTTCTAAATTCGAAAAGTCTGAAATTCGAAGCAATATTTCCCATAAGAAATAATGGAAATACAATTAATCCATTCCAGAAACCCAAAAATATTCACACAAAAAATACATTTTATAGAGATTAATTACAGTTTTACATACACAAATACTATAGTTTTTAATTATGTATAGTAATACATATAAAATAACATTTTTGCTTACCTTTATTGAAGATTGGTGATGGCATCTGGAAGATAGGGAGGTGGAGAGAGAGAGCTGGGGTTAGTGTTTGGAAGGAGAATCCCCCTCCATGAGGACTTCAGGTAAAGCCCTCTCTGGGGTTACTTCCCTTCTCTGTCTTTTAATGCCACTAGGACCAGCTTGAGAGTCACTGGACCCCTGTCTCACAAAATAACTGTCCACAGTCCTCTGTTTCTGGCACCTCTTTAACATTTCCCTAAAATGGGACATGGTTGTCACTGAACTTGTTGCAAAGATGGCTTGTTTCAGCTTGCTCAGGGTGGTACTTCTGCACAAACACTTGGACATCATTCCACTTGGCACAAATCTCCTTAATCTTTGAAGAAGGTACCTCATCCACTCCCTATATTAACACCTTTCGCAACATCAGCTTCCTTGATTTGTTCTTTCTTTGACAAGATAGAACCGATGGTCGACTTATTTTTCCCATACATCCTGGCAAGCTCAACAAGTCTCACACCACTCTCATACTTTTGTATTATTTCCTTCTTCACATCTATGGTGTTTCTCACTTTCTTTACCACAGGGGTACCACTAGCAAGTTTCTTTGGGCCCATGGCAGCTTATTTCACAGTCTCACGAGCACTAATCATAAAATGCGTGAATGAGAGCGCAGGTTAGTGTTCACTCAAGCATAAACAAAGCTAGACTGCTCACGGCGTCTGCGCGGGGACGCGGACAGAGTGGGCGGCAGACAGGTCCTGTACCCGGCGGTCCGAAAATAGGGGCACGTTCGATAATAGGGACACAGTTTGTCCGAAAAAATGGTCCTATTTTCGAAACGTTCGATATGTGATACATTCGATTTTTGAGGTTCCACTGTACATGGGATCAGCTTTGTCATCCTCCTCTGTACATTTTCCAATGCATTTATATCCATTCTGTAATATGGTGACCAGAACTGTGCAGCATAATCTAAATGAGGCCTAACCAAGGATATATAGAGTTGAAGAACAACCTGAGGACTTCTATTACTTATACTTCTCGATATGAAACCAAGGATTCTGTTAGCTTTATTGTGAACACTTATGCACTGTTGTCTTGGTTTCAGATTACTGCTACCAGAACTCCCAAATCCTTTTCACAATCAGTAGTATAAGATCTACACTATTCACTTTATAAGTGGCATGGTTATTTTCGTGTCCAACATTTCGAACTTTGCACTTGTCTATATTAAACTGTATCTGCCACTTCTCCGACCACTGCATCAGTCTATTCAAATCATCCTGGAGTGCTCTAATATCCTCTTTAGAATGAATTGGATGGCCTATTTTGATGACATCAGCAAATTTGCTTATGTTGCTATTTATTCCCTCATCTATGTTGCTTATGTAGATTGTGAACAACAAGGGGCCCAACACTGATCCCTGTGGAACACCGCTCGTGACGTGTCCCCATTCTGATTTCTCCCCATTTATGCAAACCCTCTGCTGCCTATTTGTCAACCATGCCTCTACCCAGGAAAAAATTTCTCCTCCTATTCCATGTGCCTTAAGTTTCCTCAATAGCCTCTGATGTGGAACTCTATCGAAATCCTTAATGAAGTCCATATACACAATATCATATTCAATACCATGATCTACCTCCTCAAATACCTTAGTGAAGAAAGTTAGTAAATTCGTAAGACAGGAATGCCCCTTTGTAAAACTGTGTTGAGATTCACTAATCAATTTATGCCTTTCAAGATGGCTACGAATTGTTCAGCAATTATTGATTCCATAAATTTTCCCACTATGGAGGTTAATGACATCCAGTACACAGACCTATTCTCTTTTATTTAGGACCTCAAGTATCTTCCTAAACCTTCCATGTGTGGTAAACATCAAGGTGCAATGAATTATGGTTACTAATATGCCACTGCCACTAACCACTTGGATGTACTGGTATGTCACCATCGGCTTAGAGGTTAAATGCACTTTACACATAACATTCATTCTCGCTAACATACGTCATTACTGTACAACATAAAATACGTTGGTTTGGATAATTGAAGTACCCTAGACTAGTCAAAGATGCTTTAATCTATAAAATAGGGACTGAAGTACAATGTCAGTGCATGCACACAGATATATACACCTCTCAGTGATATAATGTATCTTAAGAAAATGTATATACCTATAAGGATTGCCAGAAATAGGCTGCCTCTGAGATGGGTCTTCTGGGTTTGGGTCATGATGCAATTTCCAGCCTTCCAGTGTTGCTCCCCGCCAGTGGTGACCAGACTTTACACACAGGTCCTCTGCAGCTGATACCTGGCCAGAACGGATGTAGGAAAAGACAGATCGCAACAGACGTATTTCATCTTCCTGAAATAATACAATATGCATTTTCTTGTATAATCATGTAAAAACAAGTTTTACCTGAAATTAAAAAATTATGGAAACCCATTTGTGAACAGTGAGCAATGATGCTAGATACTTCCTGAACGTAAAAAGAAAAAAAAAATGCTTTACAATGTTATTATTCCTCCCATCTCAATATCTCATTTTCTCAGTACGGATGATGCACTTACAATGTGTTCTGAAATATCTGATGTTCATCAATCTAGGATGCCTTCACAGAAACTGCTAATAAAGATTAATACTGTACATGCTCACTTAAAGTTCAGGAAAACTTAGACTCCTCTAAAGTCTGACAGGTGATTACATTTTCTGCTTGGATGCTGGTTTTACCACATTTGAATGAAGATATGTAAGTTCAACTTTTTTCAACATATTTTACAAGAAAACAAGTGTTCAGTCTCATGATGTTCTGGATTAGGTCAATGTATCTGCTGCTTTAATACCTCTATAAAACAGGAGTTTAATACATTCTACCACTGAAGGTGTGTTGCCTTAAATGCAGCTCAATTCCATTATGTATTAGCACGAGTTTACAGGATGAAAATATTTTCTTTTTCCTAACATCTTTGGATATTACTATCTTACTGTTGGATGTGGCTATTCCTAATCAAGACTGAGGACCCAGACAATGACAATCTGGTTGGTTGGTGAAGGAGGAAAGAGAGGAGATAAAAGAGAGGAGGATTATGACTAAATTTTGGATTTAGTTTTTTTCAACCATTTTTTGATCAACCACATGCAATTCTGTGTAAAGGCCTTCTGGTTTTCACTTATATTAGGGCATGCAGTGCAAGAAAATTATACATAACTTTAATAAATAAAAAAATACATTTACAATGTTATATTTTTTTTTTTTTTTTTTTCAACAAGTCGGCCGTCTCCCACCGAGGCAGGGTGACCCAAAAAAGAAAGAAAATCCCCAAAAAGAAAATACTTTCATCATCATTCAACACTTTCACCACACTCACACATTATCACTGCTTTTGCAGAGGTGCCCAGAATACAACAGCTTAGAAGCATATACTACAGTGGACCCCCGCATAACGATGGCATCACATAGCGATTATTTCGCATACCGCTTACTTTAATTGCAAAAATTTTGCCTCACATACCGCTTAAAAACCCGCTTACCGATTTTCGTCCGAGACGCGTCCAATGTGCGGCCTGAGCCACGCTCACATGTTCCGCCGGTGGCATTGTTTACCAGCCAGCCTCCGCGGTAACATCCAAGCATACAATCGGAATATTTCGTATTATTACAGTGTTTTCGGTGCTTTTTCTGGAAAATAAGTGACCATGGCCCCCAAAAAAGCTTCTAGTGCCAACCCTACAGCAATAAGGGTGAGAATTACAATAGAGATGAAGAAAAAGATCATTGATAAGTATGAAAGTGGAGTGCATGTCTCCGAGCTGGCCAGGTTGTATAATAAACCCCAATCAACCATCGCTACTATTGGTGGTACAGCTGCTGCTGCTGCTGCACTGTCAGCTGCTGCTGCTGCTGCACTGTCAGCTGCTGCTGCTGCTGTAGCACCGTTGTTGGTGTGGCTTATTGAGAATACCAAGAAACAATTAACCCCAGAGGATTTGCCACCCAGGATAACCCAAAAAAGTCAGTGTCATCGAAGACTGTCTAACTTATTTCCATTGGGGTCCTTAATCTTGTCTCCCAGGATGCAACCCACACAAGTCGACTAACACCCAGGTGAACAGGGAAAAATGCCTGGAACTAGTGCTCATATTGGTGAATTTAAAGCCAGCACAGTACTCAGGAGGAAAAGGCACTCCCAGGACACAGTGTCTCATCAGTCATTGCTGCATCTTCAATAAAAGTAAGTGTCATTTATTCTTCATTTAGTAGACTAGTACATGCACAATATATACTGTGCATGTACTACTCTACTATTGTGCATGTATCCTTCTCTTTGTGTGTGGGAAAATGTATATTTCATGTGGTAAAATTTTTTTTTTCATACTTTTGGGTGTCTTGCACGGATTAATTTTATTTCCATTATTTCTTATGGGGAAAATTCATTCACATAACGATTATTTCGCATAACAATTACCCCTCTTGCACGGATTAAAATCGTTAACCGGGGGTCCACTGTACGTATAAAGATACACAACATATCCCTCCAAACTGCCAATATCCCAAACCACTCCTTTAAAGTGCAGGCATTGTACTTCCCATTTCCAGGACTCAAGTCCGACTATATGAAAATAACCGGTTTCCCTGAATCCCTTCACTAAATATTACCCTGCTCACACTCCAACAGATCGTCAGGTCCCAAGTACCATTCGTCTCCATTCACTCCTATCTAACACGCTCACGCACGCTTGCTGGAAGTCCAAGCCCCTTGCCCACAAAACCTCCTTTACCCCCTCTCTCCAACCCTTTCGAGGACGACCCCTACCCCTCCTTCCTTCCCCTATAGATTTATATGCTTTCCATGTCATTCTACTTTGATCCATTCTCTCTAAATGACCAAACCACCTCAACAACCCCTCTTCTGCCCTCTGACTAATACTTTATTAACTCCACACCTTTTCCTAATTTCCACACTCCGAATTTTCTGCATAATATTTACACCACACATTGCCCTTAAACAGGACATCTCCACTGCCTCCAAACCGTCTCCTCGCTGCTGCATTTACCACCCAAGCTTCACACCCATATAAGAGTGTTGGTACTACTATACTTTCATACATTCCCTTCTTGCCTCCATAGATAACGTTTTTTGACTCCACATATACCTCTACGCACCACTCACCTTTTTTCCCTCATCAATTCTATGATTAACCTCATCCTTCATAAATCCATCCGCCGACACGTCAACTCCCAAGTATCTGAAAACATTCACTTCTTCCATACTCCTCCTCCCCAATTTGATATCCAATTTTTCTTTATCTAAATCATTTGACACCCTCATCACCTTACTCTTTTCTATGTTCACTTTCAACTTTCTACCTTTACACACATTCCCAAACTCATCCACTAACCTTTGCAATTTTTCTTTAGAATCTCCCATAAGCACAGTATCATCAGCAAAAAGTAACTGTGCCCAATTCCCCATTTTGAATTTGATTCCCCATAATTTAATCCCACCCCTCCCCAAACACCCCTAGCATTTACTTCCTTTACAACCCATCTAAATATATTAAACAAACCAGGGTGACATTACACTCCCTGTCTAAGACCTCTTTTACCGGGAAGTAGTCTCCCTCTCTTCTACACACCCTAACCTGAGCCTCACTACCTCATAAAAACTCTTTACAGCTTTTAAATAACTTACCACCTATTCCATAAACTTGCAACATCTGCCACATTGCTCCTCTATCCACTCTATCATATGCCTTTTCTAAATCCATAATGCAATAAAAACTTCCCTATCTTTATCTAAAACTGTTCACATATAGCTTCAATGTAAACACCTGATCTACACACCCCCTACCCACTCAAAAAACCTCCTTGCTCATCCGCAATCCTAATTCTGTCTTACTCTAATTTTTTCAATTATAACCCTACCTTTACATTTTTCCTGGTATACTCAGTAAGCTTATTCCTCTATAATTTTTACAGTCTCTTTTGTCCCCTTTCCCTTTATATAAAGGGACTATACATCTCTCTGCCAATCCCTGGGTACCTTCCCCTCTTTCATACATTTATAAACAAAAGTCCCAAACCACTCCAACACTAATCCCCCCCTGCTTTTAAAAATTTCTGTCATGATCCCATCGTTCCAGCTGCTTTACCTCCTTTCATTTTAACGTAAGGCCTCACGTACCTCCCCCACTTACATTCTGCTCTTTTTCACTCCTAAAAGATGGTATACCTCCCTGACCAGTGCATGAAATTACTGCCTCTGTTCTTCCTTAACATTTAAAAGTTCCTCAAATATTCTCGCCATCTACCAATACCTCCATCTCCCCCTCTACTAACTCCCCCTACTCTGTTTTTAACTGACAAATCCAATTTTCCCTAGGCTTTCTTAACTTGTTTAACTCACTCCAAAATTTTTTCTTATTTTCATTAAAATTTTTTGACAGTGCCTCTCCCACTCTATCATCTGCTCTCCTTTTGCACTCTCTCACCACTCTCTTTACCTTTCTTTTTTCTCTCCATATACTCTGCTCTTCTTATAACACTTCTGCTTTGTAAAAACCTCTCATAAGCTACCTTTTTCTCTTTTATCACACCCTTTACTTCATCATTCCACCAATCACTCCTCTTTCCTCCTGCCCCCACCCTCCTATAACCACAAACTTCTGCCCCACATTCTAATACTGCATTTTTATGTTGTATATACAGTAAATGTTAATCAGTACTTCCTGCATACCTTACCCCTAACTTACCTGGTCTAAGTCGTGGAGAGGTCGACCCTGGCGCAGAGAAGAATCAGGATCCATTGAAGTTACTAATGGCCGAGCTCCTTTCAGTGGGTGAACAATACCACTGCTCTCATTCTGAAAAGAAAAAAGCTTGACTGTAACATAGTTTAGTCCCTGATAATGCTCTGTTATTGATTACTCTCTTAACATACAAGATGAGCTGGTAATAAGAAATAATTTGTTTTCCAAGTGCCCCAATCATAAGTGTGAACTATGGTACACTGGATTTATTTTTTATTATTTTTTTATTATCACACTGGCCGATTCCCACCAAGGCAGGGTGGCCCGAAAAAGAAAAACTTTCACCATCATTCACTCCATCACTGTCTTGCCAGAAGGGTGCTTTACATTACAGTTTTTAAACTGCAACATTAACACCCCTCCTTCAGAGTGCAGGCACTGTACTTCCCATCTCCAGGACTCAAGTCCGGCCTGCCGGTTTCCCTGAACCCCTTCATAAATGTTACTTTGCTCACACTCCAACAGCACATCAAGTATTAAAAACCATTTGTCTCCATTCACCCCTACCAAACATGCTCACGCATGCCTGCTGGAAGTCCAAGCCCCTTGCACAACAAAACCTCCTTTACCCCCTCTCTCCAACCTTTCCTAGGCCGACCCCTACCCCGCCTTCCTTCCACTACAGACTGATACACTCTTGAAGTCATTCTTTCGCTCCATCTCTCTACATGTCCGAACCACCTCAACAACCCTTCCCCCAGCCCCCCTGGACAACAGTTTTGGTAATCACGCACCTTTCCCCCTAACTTCCAAACTACGAATTCTCTGCATTTTTTTCACACCCCAAAATTGCCCTCAACATGACATCTCCCCTGCCTCCAGCCTTCTCCTCGTGCAAAAATTCATCACCCATGCTTCACACCCATATAAGAGCGTTGGTAAAACTATACTCTCATACATTCCCCTCTTTGCCCCCAAGGACAAAGTTCTTTGTTCCACAGACTCCTAAGTGCCCCACTCACTCTTTTCCCCTCATCAATTCTATGATTCACCTCATCTTTCATAGACCCATCCGCTGAAAACGTCCACTCCCAAAAATTGAATACATTCACTCCTCCATACTCTCTCCCTCCAATCTGATATTCAATCTTTCATCACCTAATCTTTTTGTTATCCTCAAAAACCCTTTACTCTTTCTGTATTCACCTTTAATTTTCTTTTTTTGCACACCCTACCAAATTCATCCACCAATCTCTGCAACTTCTCTTCAGTTCTCCCAAGAGAAACAGTGTCATCGCAAAGAGCAGCTGTGAAACTCCCACTTTGTGGTGTGATTCTTTATCTTTTAACTCCACACCTCTTCCCAAAGACCCTCGCATTTACTTCTTTTAAAACCCCCATCTATAAAATATTAAACAACCACGGTGACATCACACATCCTTGTCAAAGGGCCCCTACTTTTACTGGGAAAAAAATTTCCCTCTTTCCTACATACCTAACTTGAGCCTCCTATCCTGTAAAAACTCTTCACTGCTTTCAGTAACCTACCTCCTACACCATACACTTGAAAACATCTGCCACATTGCCCCCCTATCCACCCTGTCATACACCTTTTCCAAATCCATAAATGCCACAAAGACCCTTAGCCTTATCTATATACTGTTCACTTATATTTTTTCACTGTAAACACCGGGTCTACAAAACCCCCTACCTTTCCTAAAGCCTCCTTGTTCATCTGCTATCCTATTCTGCGTCTTACTTTTAATTCTTTCAATAATAACTCTACCATACACTTACCAGGTATACTCACAGACTTATCCCCCTTAAATTTTGCACTCTCTTTTATCCCCTTTGCCTTTATACAAAGGAACTAGCATGCTCTCTGCCAATCCCTAGGTACCTCACCCTCTTCCATACATTTATTAAATAATTGCACCAACCGCTCCAAAACTATATCCCCACCTGCTTTTAACATTTCTATCTTTATCCCATCAATCCCGGCTGCCTTACCCCCTTTCATTTTACCTACTGCCTCACGAACTTCCCCCACACTCACTACTGGCTCTTCCTCACTCCTACAAGATGTTATTCCTCCTTGTCCTATACACGAAATCACAGCTTCCCTATCTTCATCAACATTTAACAATTTGCAATAAAAAAAAATAGGAGATATAGCTATTGTGGTGTCTACATATGGATCATACTGTAGTTGGCAGAGAATCATTAATTATCAATGTTAATTCTAGATAATGATGTATGAAACCCACACCTTAGGAAGCATGTTAGGAAACTGGAAAAATTGCAAAAGCATACAAAAAAGCTTGTTCATGAGTTAAGGGGCATGAATTGTAAGGGACCTCTAATGAAATTGAATCTAACAATACTGGAGGATAGAAGAATCAGGAGTCATATAATATACAAAATACAGAGGGAGACTGACAGGTTAGAAAGTAACAGGCCCTTCGAGAGGCAAGAAACAGGACCTTGGGGACACAGCTGAAAATTAAAAACACAGATGAGTCTCCAGGATGTCAAGAAGTATTTCATCAGCCTCAAGGTGGTCGGAAAGTTGAATGATCTTGGTGAAGAGGTGGAGGAGGCAGACTCCATACACAGCTTTAAGAGCAGGTATGATAAGGCTCATGAAAATAGTAGGGAGTGAATCTGGCAAGTGGCAAGCTACTTCCCACATACAGATGAGTACATATAGGTGAGCACAGATCAAACCCACAGAGTTGGAAAATATATAAACAGTACTCCCAGGAATACATGTACTTTATATATAAATGTGTGCTTTTTGTATCTTCTGTATGATTACATAAAGATCTTGAGAGACCAAATCACTGTCCCAGTAAAAGTTTGTTCAATAAAGTGACTTTTTCTTCACTACTGTTTAGGGAGCAGATTATTTAATATTCCTAGCAATAAAAGAAAATCAGGAGATATAGTTGTTGTGTCTACCTATGGATTATACTGTAATTGGCAGAGAATCATTAATTCTAGATGACTAGTTTGTCCCTGTAAAATAGGCCACAGTTATGAATTAAAATAAATAATTATCAAGTCCTAGGTAGTAGGTTGGTAGACAGCAACCACCCAGGGAGGTACTACCATCCTGCTAAGTGAGTGTAAAACGAAAGCCTGTAATTGTTTTACATGATGGTAGGATTGCTGGTGTCCTTTTTTCTGTCTCATGAACATGCAAGATTTCAGGTACGTCTTGCTACTTCTACTTACACTTAGGTCACACTACACATACATGTACAAGCATATATATACACACCCCTCTGGGTTTTCTTCTATTTTCTTTCTAGTTCTTATTCTTGTTTATTTCCTCTTATCTCCATGGGGAAGTGGAACAGAATTCTTCCTCCGTAAGCCATGCGTGTTGTAAGAGGCGACTAAAATGCCGGGAGCAAGGGGCTAGTAACCTCTTCTCCTGTATATATTACTAAATGTAAAAGGAGAAACTTTCATTTTTCCTTTTGGGCCACCCCGCCTTGGTGGGATACAGCCGGTGTGTTGAAAGAAAGAAAGAATTATCAAGTACGGGGAGAATAAACCTTGATAAGTTAGATACGAAACATTTTTGCCTGTGCTACAGACTTCATCAATTAAATACAGAGATGAATCACACTCCTGGAGACATAAGCAATGTTGGAAGATGAGGCGAAGAGGTAGTCTGATGTAATAAGACCATCACCCTAGGTACAAGATGATCAGGCTCTTAGCCTAAAGCAGAAGCAGTTGGCCAGAAACTTTTATACAAGACGATAAGGTGTAGCAGCTTGGAGATGTAGTCACAGGTGAGCTGGGTCAACTAGTGGAAGTTGCTAGCAAAAAGAGATGCTGAAGACATCCCTTGTACTAAGATACCATCTTGTTACAGTATCAAACAAGTTTTTTTTTTTTTTTAACTAGTCGGCTGTCTCCCACCGAGGCAGGGTGACCCAAAAAAAAAGAAAATCCCCAAAAAGAAAATACTTTCATCATCATTCAACACTTTCACCTCACTCACACATAATCATTGTTTTTGCAGAGGTGCTCAGAATACAACAGTTTAGAAGCATATATGTATAAAGATACACAACATATCCCTTCAAAACGGGCCAATATCCTAACCCCCTTTAAAGTGCAGTATTGTACTTCCCATTTCCAGGACTTCAAGCCCGGCTATATAAAATAACCGGTTTCCCTGAATCCCTTTCACTAAATTTTACCCTGCTCACACCCAACAGCAAGTTGGTATACGTACAATATTGACAAGCTGATAAATAAGACACATGTGCAAAACTAGGAATCTTTATTGACGAAACATTTAATCTGTGCTGCAGACTGATGAAGTTTGGAGTACAGGCCAAGGGTTTCATCAATAAAAATTCCTAGTGTTGCAAGTCTTACTTATCAACTTGTTGGTATTTTATTTATTTATTTTTATTATCACACTGGCCGATTCCCACCAAGGCAGGGTGGCCTGAAAAAGAAAAACTTTCACCATCATTCACTCCATCACTGTCTTGCCAGAAGGGTGCTTTACACTACAGTTTTTAACCCTTTCAGGGTCCAAGGCCCAAATCTGGAGTCACGCACCAGTGTCCAAGAATTTTCAAAAAAAAATTTGTTATTTTTTCTTATGAAATCGTTAGAGAATCTTTTTGTGAAGTTAATAAAAAAAAAAGTACGAAATTTGGTGGAAAATTGACGAAATTAGCTCTCGCGAATTTGATGTGTCAGCGATATTTACGAATGGGCGATTTTGCCGACTTTGACTCCCATTTTAGGCCAATTACATTATTCCAGTCAACCAAATTCTTAGCTATTTCATTTAGAAATTACTTCTATTCTATCGATTGAGCACAAGAAATCACCAAGTCAACTGTTTCAACTACAAAATAAAGTGATCGGAAATTGTTAATTTGGCCAATTTAACACAAAGTTCAAAATATTCCAATTTCAAAATAGGGTCCAGAATGAAAAAATGTAAGCATTCCTGGCACTAAACTAACATTTTCCCCTGTTCATTAGTTATGTTTTGAGGCTTTACAAATAAATCCATTTTGATTTTTTATTTACATAATGAATTTTTATTCACACCAAAAATAGAAGATTTACTG